GTTCATATAGTCAAAGAAATTAAAGATTCAGGGTGGATTACCTTCGTTTGAGATCATGAGTGCTTGATTCTACATTTTCTAGGGTTAATATAGTCAAAGAAAGTGGTCTCACCAATTTAAGGTATGAAATCGAGTTTTTTTTTCCAGATCTGTTCGTCCAGACGACTGAAATTTCAGTCGTCTGCATTCGTCCGGTCAACGCAAAGGTTATTTTTGCAATTGACTTTGCAATTTGTTTCTAGAGACGACTGAAAGTTTAGTCGTCTGGATTAGTTTGATAAAAAAAATATCCTCAGAATCTGGACGACTGAAATTTCAGTCGTCGTAGGTTAGTTTTGCATTTGACAAGAAAACTTCAGAATTTTGACTTTTTCGGACGACTGAAATTTCAGTCGTCTGCGAAAAAATTGAAATATCAATATTTTATTGGAACTCACGACTTACATTTCGGTAGTAATAGGTTAGTTTTGCAATTGTGAAAAAAACTTCAACTCTCAAGACGACTTATAATTCAGTCGTCTGGAAGACGACTTAAAATTCAGTCGTCCAGGATTTTATTCCGAGATTCTGGTCAAACCTTGTAAATCCTAGACGACTGAAAGTTCAGTCGTCCAGCAGACGACTGAACTTTCAGTCGTCTGGATATGATTAAATATTGAAGTTTTTTTTCGCAATTGCAAAACTAACCTACGACGACTGAAATGTAAGTCGTCGAATTTCAATAAAATATTGATATTTTATTTTTCCTCAGACGACTGAAATGTAAGTCGTCCTGAAAAGTCAAACTTCTGAAATTTTCTAGTCAAATACAAAACTAACCTACGACGACTGAAATTTCAGTCGTCTGTCTTTTTTGGAGATTTTTTTTTATCAAGCTAATCCAGATGACTGATATTTCAGTCGTCCCAATTAACAAATTTCAAAGTCAATTGCAAAAATAACCTCTGCGTTGACCAGACGACTGAATGTTTAGTCGTCTGGATGACTTAGATTTCAGTCGTCTGCTTCTATCTTTAATAAACTTTTGTTTTCTTTGTTCTATGTTTGCTAATGTGTTTTATTTTTACTTTTTCAGATGACACATCAGTTACGTGCAGTGTATGGAGAATGGTTGTTGGAAGATGGTTGTTGGAATTTTGTGGTTGATCGTTTCAAATGAGCGAGGATGTTATTTTGAGTGAAGGTTTGACACATGCTGATCTTGTTTCAAAGGAGCGAGGATGTTATTTCTGAGTGAAGGTTCGTCACATGCTGATCTTGTTTCAAAGGAGAGAGGATGTTATTTATGTTTTATGTACTTCTCTTTAGACGACCTTCATTTCATTCGTCCAGACGACCTTAATTTCAGTCGTCCAGACGACCTTAATTTCAGTCATCCAGACGACCTTATGGTTAGTCGTCTCTCGAGTTAAATAAAAATTTGAAAAGACAAGTCATGCATTATATTACATTATACATTACATTAGAAGTCATGGAAGAAGGGTTTGATGTTGAAGTCTATTATTTCATTGATTTGTAAATGTGTAAACACATTGTTATCACATATATTACATCTTGGGAAACAATATCACTGACTACAAAAAATTCACAATTAGAAGAGTACACATGCAAATCACAAAACATACGACAAACTAAACTATAATAGATCATTCCTCTACAAAGATAAGTTTGGACTCCACTTGATATGAAACAAGACAGCTTCAGAAAACTTTCAGGAAGTCCAGACAACTTTCAGACGACTTACAAGAAGTCCAGACGACTTACAGGAAGTCCGGACGACTTACAGGAAGTTCAGACAACTTCCAGACGACTAACAAGTAAGTCGTCCAGACGACTAACAAGTAAGTCGTCCAGAAAATTATACTTTAGACAACTAACATGTAAGTCGTCCCAGAAGTCTTCAAGATCTGAAAAACCTGCATATCAAGCCCAGATCTGAAAAATCTGCATATCAAAAAACATTCAAATGGCTTAAAACACACAGAAAATGAGTGGAAGATTAGATATATATATATATATATATATATATATATACTTTTATAGAACACACAACATA